AAATGACTTCCCGATTTCGCTTTTAAGAATCTACTACCCGTAGTAGGAAATGGATGGGAAGAATCTCGGTTATTCACAAAACTGAAAATGACTCCTCCCGGCAACTGAAATATAATCCGCTTGCGGAAACAATCCATTACCGCCCGGAAAGCGGACAACAAGTTCATCCCGAAAATCACATCATACCCCTTTATCTCTAAAGCAATCAAATCCACAATCAATTCGTGCTCCCCAATGCGAAGCACGCAACCCTTGCAAACTCGGCTAGTATCTAACCGTTCTCCCGTGGGCAAGCTAATGTTCATAACATGCTCTAGCTTCGCGAAACTCAATCCCAAATCAAGTGCATATGTCGTGCGTACAAATGAGTGTGTTGCACCGGGGTCAAATAATATTCGGGCCCAAGAATTGTAAATAAGGACGATACCTTCCACAACGGCATTGGCAATGTCCTCCTCCGGCTGAGTCAAAGCAAATACTCGCCCTTGGTTGGCGCCGCCGGGGGCTTGAGCTTGTATCCGTCGTTGCGGTGCAGGCCTCGGTGGTGGTGGTTGGGCTGCTGGTACCTGTCTGGCGGTCTGGATAGGCCCCTGAGGTGGAAAAACTGGGCAATGCATCCGAATATGCCCCACACCTCCGCATGCAAAGCAGGATCGTGAGGTAATACCGGCTCTAGTCTGAGTGTCTCCCTCTCCTCGGGCTGTCAAAAGTCGCTGTCCACCTGTCTGGTCTGGGCGACGGTATGGTGTCGGTCTCTGTGCCCCACTAGTGCTAGCACCCGTCCGGATCGGACCTCCTCTCGAGAAGCCTTGTCGTCGCTGGCTATCCTCTATGTCTCTCTCTACCAGTGCAGCTCTGTCCACCAAGTCCCCAAAATCACGGATCTTGAGAGCCACCAACTTCTCCCTGATGATCGGCCTCAGACCCTGCTCGAAGCGCTTGGCCCTGTCGGCCTCATTAGATATAAATCCCGTAGCATAACGGGAGAGCTCGTCGAACCGCCTCTCATACTCAGCCACGGTCATACTACCCTGTCGTAGTGCAAGAAAATCCGCCTTCATTCGGTCTCTGACCGATTCAGGAAAGTACTTATCTTGGAAAAGTTGATCAAACTCTTCCCAAGTGAGTGTATCGGTGTCCCTTCTCCTCTTTATGGCATCCCACCAATAGTCGGCCTCCCCCTCAAACAGGTAGGTCGCCAAACCAACTCTCAACTCCTCGGCAACTCCCATGCCGTCACAGATCTTCTTCACTCGGCGGATCCATCTATCCGCCTCCAAAGGATTGGAGCTCCCTTGGAAATTGGGTGGTCGTTGTCTTAAGAATTCCCGAAGAGCTATCATCCTTCGGTCTCCGTTCCCATTGCCCGGTACTTGAGCGAGAGGATGAGCTCCACCATTGTGGTTGTTGTTACCATTTTGGTTTTGTACCAAAGTGGTGAGCTCCCTCAAGCATTGGTAAATGCCTTGCATGGCATTCGGAGGTGGTGGTGGTGGTGGATTCGCTTGACCTCCACGGCCACGCCCACGTCTGTGTCCCCGTCCGTTCATCCTGCACATCAATTCACAACTTAGTTCATGGATGTAAAGGACATCCTAAATATTAGGTTAAGCTAAGGCATAGAACGTGTATAAAATTTCACTCAAGGATTTGATTCACCCTAATCCTAAAGCTCTAGAGGTGATTTCATAACCTACAGCTCCCATGTAAGACCTAAAGCCTAAGCTCTGATACCAACTTTGTAACGCCCCAAAACACACCCTGGATGACATTACATTCTAAAACCATTCATATCATGAGAGCACTAATATAATCCCTTAAGAAACAAGACTTCATTTGTCATCCACGAATATTTACAACATTATCCAAAAGAATAAGCCCAAGTCATGGCTATTACATCTCAAAAATTAATTAAGAAGCGCAGCGGAATAAACAAAAGAAGCTAGACTACACAATGTTCCAAAAGAATGTCCTAGTCTAGTACAAAAGGAAAGGAGGTCGCTCTATGCGTCCACCTCGGGATCCACACTCCCGTCCCGTGGAGTCTCCCAAGTAGCGGGCTCCTCGACCCTTACGTCCTCCTCCTCAAGCGGGTAATCTGAAAAATGTTAGCGATAGGGGGTGAGCACGAAGCTCTGTAGAAAAATTCTCCCAAACCCATACAAGGTTTAGAAAAGCATTTAAAACGGTCGGTCTCAATTTTAACATAACATAGATACATAATTTGAAATAAAGCAGTGACATTTAAAAAGGATCTCAAGTTTATTTAAAAACATTACTTAAATGAATAAATGAGCACCACATACAAATAATAACCATTAATTGCCATAACCAATTTTCAACAATTCTTTCGGTAGGTGGCATACTTTGTGGTAACCTCCACCCCCCTTTTAGGTCACCTTTGATTCTCAAGCATCCTTACCGGGAACCTCTTGAAAATGGATGAGCATCCTTACATGGAACCTCTCACCAATCACTACATTATTTCCAAGCATCCTTACCGGGAACCTCTTGGGAAGGGGTGAGCATCCTTACAAGGAACCTCTCACTCATGTGCATCACAAACAACCCAACCAAGCATACAATTCCAACATTTATCTCAATTTACAAGCATCTATCCAAAATTCCCAAAATATATCATATAACAATTCCACAACTAACTAAGAAAATACATGAGATCACAATAACATCATTTTTCTACCCAACACAAAGCACTAAGGTTTCGAAATCCATAATAAAGAAAGCATTTAGGAAGGAAATACATCACTCTCCAAAAATTAGGGTTTTAAAACTAGAAAGGAGATTTCATGGGTATTAAACCCTACTTTGTTCAAAACATGTAATCCTTGCAAAAAGCCTAAGAGAGGATGATTCCATAGCATATATATATCATTGATAGCCAAAACATACATATATAAATACCCTAGCCTCAATGTAAGTGAATGAGAGAAAATCCCTACCTTGAATCCTTAGCTTTGGAGTGAAGAACAAGAATATTTGATCTTGAATCACCCTTGAATCTCTTGTTTTTCCCTTCCTTTCTTCTTCTCTAATGCCCTCTAGGGTTTCAAGAGGTGTGGGGGTGTGAGGGGAGTGAAGGAAATGAGAGCAAATGAGATGAAAATGAGTTTAAAACATAGCAGCCCGAAAAATACTGTTCACAGGCTGTTTTGGGTTTCTCCAAATTTACGGTTTTGCCACTAAGAATCTCCAATTTGATCCATATGACTACCCTAAGGTTTTTCGACGTTCCGGATTCATTTTTAATGTTATTTTAACCTAAAAATATTTATTTTTATGATTTATCTCAACACCCAAGTCAACGTACACCCGAAACACTAAAGTTTCTATTTTACCCATCCGAATCGGCTATTAATGAAGTTTTGCGATGTTTGCAAATAAAAGGTGATAAAGGGTGTTTCTTAAAGCCTTTTATACTTATTTGAAGCCTAAAAGTACTCATTATTCTTATATTTTGATTTAGGATGCAAATGGAGACATTAAATGCAAAACGAAGCTAATTGGACTATTTCGACATCATTTCGTTATCTGAGCATAACTCTCTCATCCAAGCTCCGATTGAGATGATTCAAGATGCTATGGAATGATACGAAAGAGCTCTAAAACTTTCATGTTTTGAGTTTTGAGAGATATTGACTGCATCAAGGTCTAAATCGAGCTTGAAGTTGCAGCAGTGCACTGTTCACATGCACTGTTCACAGCCTGTCTTCGTCCCTTTTCCATTTTCAATCCATTCCTAAGCCAACCAAATCCATCCCAAACCTCTCCAACACATATTTCTACACCAAACCTATTTAATACAAGTTCTAGGACCTAAAATTTCATATTTTCACTTATTAAAACCAAATTTCAACTATTATTTTCACTAACATTTTAAATCTCTACTTTTTCAATCTACCAAATTCAAACACACATCACTACATATATCCACATTTTTTTTATCACAATTATTTACTATATATCTATATACATATATAAAAGAAAATGCGGGGTGGTACAAAATGCAAGAAGGGTGTCACATCTGTTAGTTAGTGAGTGTCATATAAGATTATAAGATTTTGGATGATTTTGTTCCTAAAAAGCTTAATTTTAATTCCATTACGTTATGAATAAAATTGTGATTTAGTCGTGGACTCATTGTCATTCGGAAATCTATTATTGTCTAAATTTGATCAACGGTAAACCTAAATGTAGAACTTTCTCTATGTTTATGTTTATTAAATCTAGGTTGATATGTTAATGATGTTTGTCTATTTGAAAGTTTATGTTTATGTTAATGATGTCGTCTAATTAAATAGTAACTTCTTTTGTCTAGTTCAAATCAAATTCGTCTGTCATAAACATAGATTAAGGGCACTGTAATCAATCCTATACTACCCATCCTAAAGCGTAAAGCCAATCCTTTCCCCCTCAGTAGCTCGTGGTCTCCCCTTTTGGAATATTCATTTGCTCCCCTCTCTTAAATGTTAGTATAAATTACAAAAGATTGTAAAACAAAAGACACAAAATTAGAATGCTATTCACTAAAAAAAAAAAAGCCAAATGGATTTGAAAGGTAGTAATTTTAAACACATCACATTGTTAATGGCTAAAACAATAGTTAGGCTTACCAAATTCCTGGTAGTGTACAGTCACATCACTAAACAAACTTGGCTATTAATATTAAACAAACCTGGCTATTAATATTATGCACACCGTGATGCACAATACACAAGACAAAGCGAAATAGGTGGCAAGCAAAGTAAGCGAGAGCAGATGATTGGTATCAAATCAAACCTGTAAAATATGAAGAACGTGGATAAAATAAGAGAACCTTGAAAACACTAATTAGGAGAAAATATGCATCATAAGTTTGTTTTATTTTTTCTACAATTCAATTCAACCTAAAACAAATTCCCCCACGAACACACAAAAGAAAAAACCCTTGAGAAACAGTTGCGGTTGGTCACTGATTTAATTACAGTTACAGCGTGGTGGTGATGAAGGAGGTAGTCTTACGAGTATGAGTCACTTTTTGATTCATCTTTTAGCATCCTTTCAAGTTCCTTCACAAAAATTTTCATGGCAGGCACCAGGGAAGCAAAATGGGGCACTACACTCCCATTCTCGCCCTTGCTATTCGTCAAAAGGTATGTAAAAAGCTGGCCACCCCAGCAATGGCACCAACACCACCCTTGGCTGGACCAACCGTAGGCCGCTTTGCCCCACCCAAAGTCCACATCTCCAAAATCCAGCGCGAGTAACGTCCGATACCAGGTAAGTTCACACCATCATAAAGTGGGGTTGTCCTTTGATCACCATCAAGTCGGCCACTGATCGCATATACTCCGCCAGGTGACATTTGCCTTGGCTTTCATGACAAGTTGCAGGGCATACCCCAAGGGGTTGTTGCACAGCTTTCCCGGCAGTGGAGATGGCCACCAGGAA